GCCAGTATATAGAATATATATACGGCGGACATAAAGAGTGCCGACAATAATATAAATCAGGCACGATGTAATTTCAAAGTCCCGATACATCATACTTTAGTTTTGTTATGCGGACAGCTTTGATTTACCGTCCGGTATTTGCAGTGCGGTAACTCGAAAATTGTGATTTACACGTGGTTTTCCTCTAACGTTGGCGGACACATAAAACACTATAACGCACGAGGCCTCTTCCTCGATTCCTCGATTAATATTGATTAATTATCACGTCGAGAGAGAAAAAGGAAGAGATCAACGATCGAGTGTAGACACAAACTTATAGGATACAGGTGTAACATTTTTCGGAATTAAAAGTGCGCTAAGAAACCCTCTATATTTTATCGAAACAACGCAAAATATTTATTATATCGGAGATAATAAACGCCATATCACGCACGAGAAAGTGCTCGATTGATAAGACTTTATTGAAATCGATACGGCGCCGTCGCGAAGACGATAAGGTCAAGAATAGAAAACCACTGTCGACGGAGGAAGAAAGATGAGGTTGTCGTCTTTTCAGCTCGAGGACGCTCCCTGCGATCGATGTGGTACGTCCGCGGAAAAGGAAACGAGGCCGATTGTGTTGGTCGCAAAGAACCCCGGTCAAAGATCCTGACTGGAGGGAGAGAGAGAGAGAGAGCGCAATGGAATCTCGGAGCACTCTTTTTTCCTCGTCGTCCCATCCGATCGACTCCGATTCGCACGCGTATTCTCATCACGTTGATATCGGGCCCGCGTGCACCGACTGAGAATGTCTCGTGGGGAGCATCGGGGTTAGTTGACCGTGTATACTACGCACCTAGTGTAGACGGCGACATACATCAAAGCCGGTATCAAAGCCACAATGCGACGTGTGTATCGCGAACACGGGATAATGGATGGTCTCGTCGGAAAAAAAAATCGAGCGACTCGAATAGCTGACGCAAACTACACGAACGCGCCATATATCGTTACGACCGATTCAATTGAAAGAAATGAAATATATTATGCGATATATGTACACGTGTGCATGCACGGACGTGTGATTCGAAAGAGTTTCGTGTGAAGAAGAAAGAGGTGCGCGCAAGAAGGTAAGGGATGGAATTACACGATGGAAGCGAGGAAAACGATCGAATAAACTTGTTCGTTGATTAAACGTTAGCAGTAACGAAGCCGTTTTCTTCAAGTATCTTCGGACATCTTCATCAGCAATTAAGAGGAGAGATATCTCCTTTCATCGATATGCATGATGAGCGAAAGGGATCTCGGGAACTTGGATAATTGGAGCGCAAAGAGTTAAGTATTTCTCCGGAAGAGTGACGTCAACGGCCGGAAGTTCGTCCCTTCACGTATCGCTATCGATGAGAAATCTCGATTATCGGAGCGCGTCGTCTTTTATCCGCTTTCTTTCACGAGGTTCTCTCGCGGTGTTACAAAGGTACTCGTTTCCTTAATACTTAACAATGTCCTGCGCTTCTCTCGAATTTTAAAAGGAAAGATCCCTTTTACGTCAGTCAGAGCACTTTGTTTCGACTCGTCGAAAGCTTTGATCTCGAATTAATGTAAGTCAACCGATAAAGAAACCGCGCGCGATAATCATTCCGTCTATACTATAGCGAATCGATGTTCATTGGAGCGAAGAGAAAAGAAATTCTCATTTATTTTACTCGATCTGAGTGTCGCGAGAGAATCCAGCCGAACCTCTCCTCACCTTTCTTCTTTACGCGCGAGTCAAATTACAGCTTCGTTGAAGCGCGTCTCTTTATCGAATGATCGAGTTATTTATTTGAATTCAACTTCCAAGAGACGGCGAGTTTCTCTCCTCTCCGTCTATCCACTTGCGCGATCGCTCTTCGATTGTGCATCCTCCAACTAGACATTTAAGCGTTGAATTTAATTAAGGTCTGGCCGAGTGCAGCTTCCTATGCGGTTTCCGTTCGACTCGAAATTTCCTATACACTCCAATCGTGAACCATCGATGAGTTTCCCGGGAACGCGCGATGACGGTAAACACGATTTAGAAATCAAATACCCAGTCGGAGACACACACACACACACACACACACACACACACACACACACACACACACACACATATATATATATATATATATATATATATATATATACACACTTTGGTAGTGGACTAAGTTAATCGGGAAAATAAACACGCGCCATATCGATATCGGCGATGCCGAAGTACGTTTGAAGTACAAGTTCCCCCGAGAAATTTCTATATTAAATATATATATGTGTGTGTGTGTATTATATATGTCTAACAAATAACATCTAAAATTGTTCTGCCAACTCCTGAACACGAGTTGTCGAAACACAACAATATTGCAAAGCACTCGAGGTATTGTTGCGAGTTCGAGAAAAGTGCGCATCACAATTTTCTTCTTTAAAAACGATACATAGAATAAAACTCGCACGGTCGAACAAAATTATTTATTCTTGTTGAACTGTCAAAACATCTCGACGAAATGATTTTCGCGGGAAAAAAGTTGAATTCGGAAAGATATAATTGAAAAAAAAAAAAAAAATATTACTCCTCCCACGTGTCTTGAGATTAATTACGCAACTCAGGATGCTGACCGGAAACTTTGGAGGACGTTCTCGCGAGTGCCCGATGTTCGCCGGAAGAGAGCTTCCACAAGTTTCGCGAGGAGCAAACGCCACACAAATGCCTCTCGAGCAGAATTGAATCCAAACTGGGTTATACGCGTCATACATATGAATGAGTCCCGGGCCTCTTTTTGAATGTCGAAGTCCGCGTTTTGCTTGCGATTCATAGATTAAGTAAAACACGTTCTCGCCTCTTCGTCTCCGCCCTGCTCTCGCGATGCATCTTCCACTTCGTCATTGGCGGACGTGCATTTCGTCCAATAAATCTGGCCCGCGTTGCTATGATTCTCCCGCGAGTTTCGCACAAGAACGATAAATCCGGACGTCGTGTTCGGAAAGTCGGTCGATTCCAATACCGAATTATTTCCCCATCCCCATGCAGCGACTAAGCAGCTGCATCGCTGTATAAACTGACGTGCATTACCAATTCAATTGTTACAAAGTATTATGTCTCAGCGTTTCTTAAGTATCGTTTATTTTTTGCGGAAATATGGAAAATTGGATATATCGCGCGTTCAACATTTTATAAGAACCTAATGGATCCTAATATAATACGAGTCAAACTATTCAGAGATTCCGTCTGCTTCCAATTTTCGCTAAAAAGTAGAAATCTTTCGATTTCAACTTTTTAATGTAATGTAATTATTCTTAATGTAATTAACAAAATATATATTTTGTCCAAATTGCTTTGGAGCAATTTGTTAAAAGTAATTATAAACTTTCATAAATGCGACAATTACGACAATCGATTACGAATAATTGATCTCTGACGTCTGTAAGGGATAGAATGACGCGGCGAGAAGATCGTGCGACTCAACAATAACTAACTCCTTGATACGTCTCGGTAACTATGAATCGGTGGAAAGTAATCGTGAATAATCCAAGCGATCTAATCGCTCCCGCGAGACGCGAGCAAAAAGACACGTAAAATACGGCTAACGTGAATTATGACCGGTCCAATTTTTCCCTCGCTCTTACCCGTGAGTTATATCTAATCCTTGGCGATGAATTCGCGTTCGTGTCGTATATACCGTTTTCCCCCAAACACATATATGACATATTCGTTCGAGATACGTGCCACACCGAACGGGATATTAAATATTTCTTATTAACGCTCGAGACGAAAGTCCAAGTGTCTTTTAATAAAGTTGTAAGTCGGGAAAACTTGTAGAAAAAAACTCGTGCACTTGGGATGATTGAAACAAGGCATTTTATATCCCTCGAATACATACACGAGGATCACATGACTTTGCTTTTACGCTTAGCTTTCGTCCTTCTCGTTAGAAAAAAAGAAACTCTAACCGAGACACGTGAGATCGATCCGAATTTATCGAGCACTAATAATAATCCTGCTTATCGGAGTCTGGACCGAAAACGCGAACCTGCATCTTCCTTCAACCACATCGCATCATCGAGAGATGTCCGAGTGCACTTTCGACGCCGATATACCTTCCGCTTTCTGCAGTTTACCCGGGGAAAGGCGTGACGCTTCGTTGTGTGTCAATAAAATATTGACACTCCATATATTCCACCGTCATTCATTTAGTCGGGATCGGGAGAAAACGTAGTATCCGTTTTCGTGTTTACGTAGGCGTCGTCCATCCGCGGTTTCTCGCCACGTAATCCTCCCTCGACGCGTCCGTTACTTTAGTTGGTATATCTCGCCATTAGCGAGACTTTATCCCCTTATACACGTCGCGTCGTTGGATTTAATTGTAAGTATATCGCTGTAAATTAATCCTACGACTCGGTAACGTGTCGTGACCCAGGCGTCACTTTTTCGAATTTTCGACGAAAAGCGCGAGTCAAATTCGTTCCTCTTATTAGCAAGTCTACTCGAAATCTTTTGACGTTTCCTCGGAGCGTAAGAATTTCAGGAGAATTATTATCGCGATGACGTTGGAATTCTTAAAAATTATAAAATGTCGAAAAAAAAATTTTTATTCTCTCGACGCGCGGAAAGTAAAATTGCTTTTCCGATATTTTTCTCATCACTGTTTCCCCGACACTTTTTCTCATAACGAGAGAAAAAGAGAATCATTTAATTAACGCCTTACATAATATAATATCGTCATTATAATATAATATCATTCCGTATGTCTCGTCATTTCAAGAACAATATCGCATCATGACGATTTTGACATAAAACTTACAGATACATTTTTAATTAACGCCTTAAATAATGTAATATCCTCATTATAAGAAAATATCATTCCGTATGTCTTTATCATTTCAAAAACATAATATCGGAGCAAATCGTATCATGACGAGTTTGACGTAAGATTGTCGCAGATAGAAAGAAATATACATGATATATTGCGATGACTTATTTTGACGGAAATACGGCGGATTTCACTTACCGTTTTGTTCCCCAAATTTTTGACACGGCAATTGAGATACGTCGTCTTTCCCAGGAGGGCGGTCACGTTCTTCGAAGCTGATTTGTCGAAGTACGGCCCCGATCGTGTCTCCTCCAGAGCGTTCTGGTTGAACGTGTCGCCGCTTTTGCCGCTATCGCCTTGCGGCATATTGTGGCAGTGCACTTCTGAAACAGGAGACATTTAAAGAAATGTTGTGTAAATGCGACAATTTCGATGCTAAACATTCGGGGAGCCGAGCGCGAGAATATTCTGTATTTTCATCCATCGAGATGCGAGACGCGCAAACGAATTCACGAAATACGCGATACAATATCGAGGTTCTTATTCGTTCGACGAACGAAGCGAGAGAGAGAGAGAGAGAATTCGACACTTTTGAAATTGTTAGTACTTTTTTTTCGCGTGACAAACGAACGGGGATTCGAAAAAATGACGCGCAGACGGTGTTTCGTCGCCAATTTTGTGTGTCGTGTATTTTATTATCTAAAATGAAACACCCCTCTCTTTCCAGACGAGCGTGACCAAAGAGTAGATATTTTGTAGAAAAAAAAAAGTTGGAAAAATTGAAGCAGACAATGCGAAAACGGATACGTGGAATATTTATTCGCGTTTGTACGCACGTACGAGATATATGTAACTTTAAATACAACAATCCAAAATATAATTATCCTGATAATTATAGTGATAACATGCGAGTAATAATATAATAATTATTATTATTGCTCATATGAATATTTCCTGTGTTATGTTTAAACTGTTAATGTAACGCGAAAGTGAGGAAAACTAATACGTGTTTGAAACGCGTAATAGTTTCCCGTTAAATAATAATAAGAGTGGAAATGGGTGAGTGTGTGCATACTCCGGTTAATGAAAAAATCCGCAGAGTCCGCGAGATTTTTAATTAAAAAATCGCGCGTAGATAAATAAAATTTGGGGCCGACGCGAAATCCATTTACGGGCTCGGATGCCCTCGTGAATTATTTTACGGATCCGCGCGGCAAGAAAGCGCGGTTACGAAAGCTGAAATCGCAATTAGCGAAAGATGTAACGAGCTCGCTTGTTACCTGCGTTTACAGAGGTAGCGAAGTCATTCATTAACCATCCTGCTTCTTGTGACATTTAACCTACTCTCACATCAACAATTCCCCGCGTGCTTTTCCCTCTTTCTCTAATACACACAAACTAGGAAAATAGGAAAATCTCTTTGTCGTCCTTCGTACCGAAAAGAAGACGTTTTCGTCGTCGCAATGTCGCAATGATGGCGCGCGACTTATGACAGTACATCCTGTATAACGGACAAAGAAAAATGATGCAAGAATCGTAATAATGTATTTCTTTTCGCAAAAGCACAGGACTGATTTGCTTTATCCAATTAAACTTGCCCGAAGTAGCGGTACAAGTAATTTTTTTCCCTTTTTGGGGAAAAAGCATCCTGCCAGCCAAAAGGTATGTTTGGAAAATCAACAAAAAGTTTAATTACTTTTTTCATATTACGATCTTATTATTTTATAATTTGCTCTTTTTTGTAAATAGAAGCGGAACACGTGAAAAAAATGTTACGCCGCTGCTAAATAATTCAGTGCTAATTTAACCGGATGCTGTCAAACGTATTAATTCGAGAAAAAAAGAAGGAATAAGGTGTAGAAAAGCGATCTCGAATAAACCGCGAGTTAAATGTTTCGAACTGCGAATAAGCTTTGGCGATAAACTTCTCAAAGCGAGAAGAAAATATCATTGTCGCGGGCACACTTCGTAAAGTTGCGAGCAAATTGTTTATCGGTCCAACGACTTTTCTCTCTCTTTTTCTCTGGAACCGACGACGGGGAAATAATTTTCTCGCAAGACGATATCGTTTAATTTATCGTGCTTAGCGATACGTGCAATCAATGAGAATCGCTTGAACCGCATCTTTCACGAAAGAACGTGCAAATTAATCGCAATGGTTCAGCCATACATATATTCTACACGGATGCGAGAGAGAGAGATGGAGGATTTGAGATTAAAAACGTAATTCGCAATTACCTTGCTCGCCCATGCGCGAGCAAGGATGAACCCGTTCGTTCCAAATTCGCGACTGACAGCCCCGTCGTTCGCTGTCTGGAGAGAGAGAGAGAGAGAGAGAGAGAGAGAGAGAGAGAACGTTTGGAAAGCAGCTAATGAATTATATGACGCTTTTGTATGCACGGGCGCAGTTTATATTCGTCCCGGACTGGAAATACACGTTCGAGAGAGGCTTTATAATTGGCCGTCGCCGAAAGGCCATCCACACCGCGTCGAACGGCTCGTTTTCTCTCGAGGGCCCGGGCTTGCCATCATACGCTAGTTACGCCCCATTGCCGAGAACTCGGTGAGTAACGTAATCGAATCTCCGCCGGTCTTGATTAGGCCGTGATTACGCGAGCAAGGCGCGCGCGCTCGCGGCTGACGCGGCAAATATTGAATCTCCGAGAAGCAGCCGACGCGGATAATCCGACGACCCCCGTTTTCTCTTAGGCGCGACACTCCCCAAGCGGAGAGAACTTTATCCGCGACTTATATCCGCGAATTCTCCGACGGACTTAATCCGTTCTCTCATCCTCTCTCTCGCAATCAGCGTTCTCCGGCGTTGGACGATATTCGCATCGATGAGACGAAACTTTTCACGGATGATAATCAATTATGCACGTTTTGCAACGAACGACCGCGGGATTGTCAAATCCCGGCTTGGAAAAGTTAACCGGAAAAGTTTAATCGCGTTTAGCGTTTCCTTTATATCAATGTGCCGGAAATGTGACTGTCATAATAATGATAAAACGGCGAAGAGACGTCCGGAGAGATTTGGTCGCGACTGTTCTTTCGCAAACTCTGGGGATCTCTTCAATAGTTAGCGAAAGTGCGAAATTTTCGCGCATATATTTCCGGCTTCTCGATATATTACAATGGATCGTCGTTTTTCCGCTTTCGAGCTTTATTCAAAAATTGCAAACTTTCAGCAGTTATCAGGTTGTGTATACGAGCGTTACGTTCTATATACATGTATAAAGCGAATGCGTTTTCTCGCGATGCACCCTAGGTATGTAACGAATAAAAGTTTTGCTCGGGCAAAGCGTAAGACTTTCCGCGCGCTAAGTTTCTTTATTAAATTTGGCGAAAGGCCGCGCGAACAATTTCGACGAGGCTCTGTTTTATTTGGACAAGAAATTCGAGTTCTCACGAAGGATCAGAATCGCCGAAGTTTGGAACGAACGAGTTACAAGAGCCCTGTGTGTTCGTACAATGGGTTCGGGCTAATTTAATTATGAGTCAACGCCATTGACCACCCATCCAAGTTGCCTTTCTCGCAATCTGCCCCATTTCCTCAATTTCCTTTCCTTTTGTCCTTTCGTACGTTCCCTGTGACCAATATTCTGGTCCCTTAACTCGATTCCGAAGGAATGCGAACTCAATTTAACGAGCCACGATAGCTTGTATCACTCCAATAACCAGCAATCTAATTTTCCCCGCATGTTTTGAATCCCATTTTCCAATTGCGATTAATCCAATCGAATCCAACATACTAATGCGCTTTCACACTCGTTTCTCGCAATGAAATCTCGCAAGATAAATCTTTTTCGCGCGGAGAATTAACGGTGACGGCTAAAATAACAATTAATCCTGTTTGATTATTTTGCGATGATTATCGAGTTTTAAATAAAAGAATGAAAAGAATGAGGATAACGTCGCCGGAAAGTAGTATAATAGTTCGATAGTGGCGGGTGTGTTTGGAGAACCGCATTGTCATTCGCTCTCGTTTCCTTGCGTCCCATGGTCTACGATTTCCGTCCGCGGAGACTCGCTGGCGTCGTCGGCAGAAATGAAAATTTATCGCGCCGATACTCTCTCTCTCTCTCTCTCCCTCTCGACCCAAAGGGAAAGCACATCCTGGAGAACGAGCGTGAATTCGCGCTTCCTTTCGCCACCTTCCGGTATAACGCGCCGTCGGAGAGCAATGAGAGAAATGGCGGAGGGTGGGTTTAATCGTGATACTTGTTACGCGTTTATCTCACTCGACGGTCCATTAAATCCCGCGGCTCTCGGATAGCATCGGGTTATGGCTGATGAGCCGCGGAATGCGCGCATCAGCGATTCCTCCACGGATTTCGAATTACGCAGTCTGGGGGTTCGACCCGATTCTACCGGGTGCTGAAATCTCCTTCGCGACCAAGGTGTATTATTACAGGTGGACCGCGACGAGTAAATGTACCTGAGGGTCGCGCGTCTCCCTTGCGACTAGATCCCCTTCTAAATTTCGTGATTTTACGGCCGGGCGGCGCGTCGAAGCCACGTCGTAAAATATCCGCGACGATGGGAAGGATAAAGGGTGGCGCGCCGGATGGGACGAGACCAGATCACCGGAGGTCGGAGAGAGAAGACGAGAAATAGAGAGCCGTGGAGAGTTATCTTTCAATCTACTTTTACCGAAACTCTTACCGAGGTCGAGAGGGTGCGCGCGCGCGTACGATCTCTTGCTCTCTCCTGTTTTAAAATTCAGATTCGCAACTTTTGCTTAAACGCCTCATAGATAGACTCGTGGCAAACACATACATACATCGTGCGTCCCCGTCTTTCCTTCGCGGAAAAATGTTTTAACGACCTCTATTCCTGCATTTTTAAACGCATCTCCGCATCTCCATTTGTAATTCTTTGCTTGAAAGAAGAAAAAAAAAAGAGAATCGTAGTAAGTAAATTAACGAAATGTAACGCTTCTCGCTCGACATCGATATACACGGACTTGCACGAGAGAGCTTGCGCGAAAGCTCGGATCTAAATTTTCTCCCTTTAATTTTCCCTCTGTCTCGTGAATAAATTGGTCCCAGGCATTAGCAGTCTTGCGTTGCGATGCAATTTCGATGGCTGCCTCTCTCTCCTCTCTGTTCGGGATTACGTAGGCAAAGTTTACCCATTATTGGCCGAGGACGAGACCTATAAGGTCTGGCGTCGCCAACCGATCGCGGGAAATCGCAAGCGTGCGGCCTTCGCCGCTAATGATTCGCCTCGGGAATGGAATAATTGCCGAGGGTTGGAAGGTGGTGGCAAACGCGAAGATTCTCCGGATGAGATAGGTATATACGTAAGCTCTCTCTCTCTCTCTCTCTCTCTCTCTCTCTCTCTCTCGAGCGTCAATGTGTCACGGTATCTCCGCCACGGC